ATACAGGAAGGGTTTATTATAGTTTGTTGTGCATAGCAGGGGGGCAGTGAACATTGTGTGTGTGTGTGTGTGTGTGTGCACGCGCGCAATTTTTTTGTTCTGCTTCCTATTGTCCCTATCACTTTAAATACCTTCTATCGGTCATTACACCAAGCAAAATGGGGAACTTTACTGACCAGTTCTTTGTATCCATTGCAATTCCAAAAACAATTTCTTCAATAAAACCCAACTCAAGGAGCGCCTGGGTGGCTCAGCTGGTTAAGTGTCCAACTCTTGATTTCACTTCAGGTCATGATCTCAGAGTTGTGAGATCGAGCCCCGCTTTGGGTTTTGTGTCTGCTTGAGATTCTCTCTCTCCCTCTGCCCTTCTCCCTCCACTCACATGCTCTCTCTAAATAAAAAATAATAAATCTTTAAAAATATAAAAGATTTAAAAAATGAAACCCAACTCATAGTTAATCATTCAAACAAAAAATTACTCCTTGCTTCTTCTGAGTTGAAAAATCAAATCTGACCTCTTGCTTAGATTTTGGTGTCTTTATATCAACGTTCATATACAAACAACCTGCTGCGTGTACTGCGCAGTCATGTACTCCACTGAAAAATAGGTGTTAACGTGTGCTTGGCAGGCATTGGCGGTTAACAAGTGATTTCAAGTAAGTAAGAAATCTGAGTGCCTATTGATGAGGTGATATTATATTCCATACAAAATGGTATCTGTGTATACATGTGGAATGTGTGAAGACAAAGTGGGGACAAACCGTACTCTAAAAGCTAGAGGAAAATTTTAGGGTAGAAAAGCAAATAGCTAAGAATAAGGACCCATGAGTGGAGAGGCCATGCCAACCCACTTTTTTTAAAGATTTTTATTTATTTATTTGGCAGAGAGAGCACAAGCAGGGGCAGTAGCAGACAGAGAGAGAGGGAGAAGCAGGCTCCCTGCTGAGCCCCAACCCACTTCCAAAAACTTTGAGTCACAGGTGGTCCTTCTGTTTTTGTCTTTTACATTGCATTCTATCGGTAAGTCCTCTTTTTCATACCAGATTGCCCCAGTCCATTTATTCTCCCATGTGTACATGTTCTCCTCTTTCCTGGAGCTGCAAGCCCTCTTCCCCATCCTCCCTCTTCTCTGACAGCCAAGGTTCCATCATCAGTAAGTGCTGGAGGTAGTAAGAGAGCCGCCATTAAGTTCCCATCACCCCACCCACCATTTGGCTCCATCTCTTCTCCCATCGCCCTCGGTGGGAGGTCCTCAACCCTGTCTGCACAGCACAGCACTGGAGGCACACTGGAAAACTACCCTGGTTGAGCCAGAATCTCTATGGGAAGAGCCAAGATACTGGAATTACAAGTAAAATTAGCCAGACAAAACCCTCCAGTTGAGGACCAGATCTCATCAGCATGTGCATGCTCAAAGCCCTTGCTCCAGCAACTTTCCTCCTTACTTCCGTGCCAGCAGTTTCTCCCTCCCAAATACATGATTTGTTTCCACATACACACATGCTATTATTTCTCCCATCATTAAAAAGTTCTCTTCATTTCTTTTCCCTCAGCAGCTACCTTACCATTTCTCCCCTCTACATAAAATTCCCTTCAAGAAGTCTCCATATTCTGTGTCCATTTCTGTTTGCCCACTCTACCTCCACCGCTATCCACTAGATTTTTGCTCCCAACAATTCACCGGAACTGATAACCTCCGTGCTTCTAAATGCAACAGTCCATTCTGTCTCCACCCTCATGACTGAACAGCAGTATTTGGCAGTTAATCACTCTCCTCTTAAAAAGTTCTCATCACTGAGCTCCCAGCACATGTTCTGGGCTCCCTCACTTCATGTTCCTCCTTTCTTTGTTGCTTCTGGTAGTTCTAACTCATTTCTGAATTCTTAATATTGGAGCTCCTTAGGACTCAGTTCTTGAGCTTCTTATATTTTTATCTACTCTCATTCCCTAAGTGATATATAGTCTTTGGGCTTTTGATGCCCATATGCTATATGCTCATCTGTCTCCAATTTTTATCTCCAGCCAGCATGACACCCCCTCCTAATCTGACTTCCTAGCTGCATCCCTAACTCTGTTAATAACATTTCATCCTCCTAGTGGTTCGGGCCACAGCAAAGTTGGTGTGATCCTTGAGTCTGTAGGATCTGGGTTCCATAATTTCACCCTTGGTGTCATGTCTCTGAATATGTTACTATGCAGGGAAAGGAGTTAATGTGACTAATGAGATGAACTTAAAATAGGGAGGTTATCCAAGATGATCCAAGTGAGCCCATAGCCCCTAAATCACATGGGCCTTTAAGGTGGAAGAAGAAGGCAAAATATTTGATCAGAGAAATGCAAGGACAGGAAAAAAAACCAGGAGAAATTCCAAGCCTGAGAGGGTCACTCCATTTACCCTTGCTGACTCTGAAGATGGAGGAGGCACCAGGATTGAGGGAATGTTATGGCCTCTAGAAAATGGACAAGTCAAGGAAAGCAATCCTCGCCTAGAACCTCCAGAAAGCATCGCAGCCTGATGATACCTGGATTTCAGCCCAGTGGGACCCACCCAGGACTTCTGACCAGAACTAGAGGAGGATAGTTTCACACCCTTTGCAACTACACACTAAAGGAGTGGTCATTCATTACGGCAGCAGTATAAACTGATATACTCCCCATTACCCATCCATCAGCATTTCCTGTCAGCTCTATCCTGAAAGTATATGTCTCCAAATTGACTGTTTCTCATCATGCCCTCACTCCGCTTTGGCCCAAGCCACCATCATTTCGTGCCCAGCTTCCTGACAGAGCCTCCCAACCAGTTTCCCTGCTTCTGCCCTCACAATTCTTGATTCAAGTCAGAATGAAGCAGCCGGGTTGGTCCTGTTAGCTCACAAGTGATACCAGCTCTCTCTTCTACTCAAGATCCCCCAGTGGCTTCAGGACTTACCGAGCACAAAAACCAGAATCCTTCCCATGACGCTGCTAGCCCCTCCATGCTGGCTGCTTGCCGTCTGTCCTCCCGATGTATTGACTCTGGTTCCTCCCACATGCTCCCTTCACAGCTCTGGGCTCACCTGAAATCCTCCTCCTCAGATATCCATTTGCTTAACTCCCCACACCTCCCTCCGGTGGTCTCCCTCCCTCCTTCCTTCCTTCCTTCCTTCCATTACCACCTCCCCATACTACACATCCAACTTTATCCCTTATTGTTTATGGTCACGCACCAGACAGTGGGGCATCACAGAGATAGAGATTTGTTCTCCTTCATTCACAGCCACCTGGCCCATAATAAAAACTCAATAAGTATTTGATAAATTAAGGCATTTTTCCTACGGAATATGGTGGCTGGGTTCACCCTTTTGTTTCAATCCCCATGGCTACTATCTCAAGCCGGCTCACTCTACCACTGAAATTTCATCGTTGGATTTTTAGTTGGTGTCTTTGCTTCCAGTTCTTATCCTTACCCTTCCATCCATCCTACAGATATACATCCCTGATTCATCTTTGCTAAACACTATTAGAGGCATACGCATTTTGTTCTGAGGAACATACAGTGGCTCCCATTGCATTCTGCTTCAAAAGTAGGACTTGAATTATCCACAACAATTATATTTCCCTAATACAGCTTAGCAGCCACCCTCCTCACTCCTGTTCCCTTCAGACAGATCCCCATGCCCACCCTCATGCTGGGCGGCTATTCACCGCACTGCTTACGTGTGGTTTCCTCTTTACTGACAGAGCTTCCTTCGGAGCCCCTCAAAAATCACATTCTACTGCCTAACTCTTCCCGCTCATACCAGACTCCATTTCCATTAACTGTTTTCTACTTTCAGGGGCGCCTGGGTGGCTCAGTCGTTAAGCGTTTGCCTTTGGCTCCGGTCATGATCCCAGGGTCCTGGGATAGAGCCCCTCATCGGGCTCCCTGCTCAGCAGAAGCCTGCTTCCCACCCCCCCAACCCCCCTGCTTGTGTTCCCTCTCTCACTGTGTCTCTCTCTGTCAAATAAATAAATAAAATCTTTAAAAAAAAATAACTGTTTTCTACTTTCTTATGAGGATTTGTTCCTCTCTGCTTAGATTAGAGGTTTTCTGAAGACAGGACTCATATCTCCTGCACTTGACCGCCCAAGTGACATGTCTACATCAGGATTAATTCCGATTTTATGACTTCAGTGTTTCCACCAAATGTTATAATATAGAATATATATTATTACACATCTTATATATTATACATATATGTTCCTCTTGGTCTCTGGGTTTATGATTTTACTATTCTTAATTTTTCTTAATTTTTTTAACCCTGATTTAGGCATTATTTGTCCTGTCGATATTTTACATAAGAATAATCTCCATGTTGTTGCATGAATTTTAAATCAATATAGGGCATATATCTGCCTGCCATTTAATTTAGACATGTTCCAACAAGTACTGCCTGGTGAACATGGACAAATTGCTTCCCTCTTTCACTCAACAACACTGGAAGGTACTAGGAGCGGGAGGGGGGCGGTGAACTTGGCTGAGAGCATCGCTGCCCCTGGAGGTGCTCACAGCTCCACAGAGGGGATGGCCATGAAATGAAGAGCTCCAAGTAGGAAGAGACTAATAACATGGTAGCTAATTCCTATTCCTATGGTATTTCTACCCATGAATTCAGAATGAGATAATAATGAATTTTGCAGCACAATCTCATCATCAAAGGAAACAATTTCATCGGGAAAAAAAAATTTCATTAAAAATTTAAATGAACAATTTACAAGGAAATCACATGCTTTCCAGGTAGGTAATTCTTTAAAAAAATTACAATAATTTTACCAAATTTTGCATTTCGTTCATCTGTACTAAATTTGGAAGTTTTAACTATGGTCTTTCGAAAGAGGACTATTCCTTGACTGTTTCAGATCTTAAAAAAAAAAAAAAAGCCCCTAACATTTAACAGAAATACCCTCCTCCATCTCCCCCACCAGAAAACAACAAACAAAAACCATGAAAACCCACATCGGAAAACGTTTGTGTCATGTACCTTCTTTGTCATCGTGGTGGATAATTGCATCCTGTATCATGTCGGCAAGGTTAAAGTGAACTTTTTGATTCTTCCCATGCTTCAGCTTTTTCAGGAATCCTTCCTGCTTCTGAAAAGCCTTCTCTCTTTCATAGTAGGCTTTGATCTGCTCGCAACGCATGCGCTTCACCAGCCTTTGCCGCTGGCCAAGGGGAAGGGACTCCAGCAAGCACTGGTCAATTTCCATTTCATGGGTTCGAAAAACATTACATAGCTGAAAGCAACCTGCAAGAAACACAGTGAGAATGTCACTAGACCCATTATTACAACAATACAGTAGCACGACAGAGCGTACTCAATTCCCTATTGCCCAGCACAAAAGTCAGAAACTCACTCATTCCTCTTTGCGCTTGACATGCAAACAGCAAAGGCCTTCTCACAGATGGAGAGAGAAGCAAAGAGAGCTGATGTCTTATTCAACATCACACGGCAATAAAATAAATAATAAAATTAGAGCTAAATGTGTAGTTTTGTGCAACTTAATTATTAGCAAACACCATCCTTTCTGATTTTTTTAAAATCTTCACCAAAGGCCTGAAAGTTCTACAGATGCATTAAAGTTCCTTCACTGAATAACGCCAACTAAACTTTGTGTGTTAACTTTTGGCAGAAAGCCATTCTGAGTCTTTCAGCACACCCTAAAAAAAATCGGTTTTGTATATCCCTATGACTCTGCTTATCTAACACAATAGAACCTATGTAGGCTATCAACTATTTATGTGACACAGTGATTATTTCCACCAATATATCGCTAAACACTTTTCCTATGGATTGGTAACATTCATTTCTAAGAGACCTAATATCGGTTGAACAATAAAACAGATTTTTCTCTTGGCAGTTCAGAACCATGGATAGAATTGTTGCTGTTGTGGTCTCTGTCTTATTAATACAGTGAGTAACAGACTGAATTCTCTGTCCTGAAACTGAAGCAATCTTCACTTTCTTTCAACCTGATATTCCTTAGAAACACTACCCCAAACCCCTGTAATGGAAATGTACAAGCTCATATATCTACCACTAGATTAAAATTTTACTATTGGCAGAAAATTAACATTAGAACACTGAAAATTCGAGAGTCGAACCCACAGGTTCAGAGAAGTGTTTGTATGTTCTTCTCTTCAGGTATTTATGATGGAAGTCTCAAGCAAGTAGAAGGAACTATGCAAGCCCCCAAATGTGGCTGATCATATGCCGTGTCTGGAAAGATGGCTCAGAAAGGGCCCTGCTGCTTCATCTTCGGAGAGATGCCCAACTCCTTTGAAAGGACACCACGTTGTGACAAGGCAGTTTCCATTTCTGTATCACTTGACACTTCGCAAAGTGTTATTCTCACAACCACCGGGCCAGACCGTTTCTCTTTTGCAAGGAAAGAAAACGAAGTTGAGAGAGGCTATGACTTGTCCAAGACCAAAGAGATGATTATATGACAATCACAAATGTTCCATAAAGGCTCAAGAAAAAAACAGAATAAGAGACAGTGACTCTCTACAGCCAGATATTTAAGATATATAAGGAGGGGGCAGGAGGAGAGGGAAGCAGAGCTGGGAAATTTTGCTGTGGTTGTTCGTTAGTGTTTGAGGGCATTCTAGAATCCTATATTTTCATTAAGATCTTCATATGTATTTGTCAGAGTGATGTGAGAAGCATCAAATAACTACATATAAAACGTTTGCTTTCCAGTGACCTAAACACAAAGACACAGTGGCGGTCGTGAAATCCACAAATCACCCGGAAGTCTATCCGTGTGATAAAAGCCGTGATCACCAGCAGATCATCTCTGAGAGTTCATTAATAATGGCAGGAGATATCTTCTGCCTTCCAGTCTGTTCAGAGAACTGCGCTTGGGTTCCCAGGACCCAGTGGCTGCCATGACTTTCCTGGTGTGTGAGCAGGTGCCCAGAGCATCAGGGGAACCACTGGAAAACCCGAAGAGGTAAAGCCGATGACCTCACAGCATATCACCTGCTGCGGAGCACGTGGTCAAAGGTGGAGGACAACCTCATAAACACAACAGTCCTCTGGCATTTGGCTCATACAAAAAACCGTACTGTGAAATTTTCAATGAACTTTTAAGGAGTCTGCAGTGACAGCTCATGATGCATCGAGCAGCCCTCTCAGTCTGTCAAAAAGGAGCACTGAGGGATGTTCATAAATTAATTCCCTCATGATTTGGAAAATCAGATGCCAAGGCTGTTAAATTTCAAATCCCTACATGTATAAAATATTGATTTTTAACATATTTTCTTGTTAGATCATTCCCTGTGCTTTGATTTTAAATGGTCTAAACTTTCATTTATTTTACTTCTAAACATGTAACGGGCGCTGTGACTTTCTTTCTGTGTCATTATGGGCGGAACACCTATGTCATGTATATGTGCTGTTCTCGGTCTGCAAGATACCACACTAAAAATAACGTAGTTTTGGGAAACGTAGTTTTGATGCAGTCTACCCAAAACCTATGAATTTGGTCACTGGGGCACTAAGAGTAACAGCCATTTAATACCTCAGGTGACAATCGGGACAGGCCAAGCAGGCAGGTGGTTAAGGCTGAAGAGGAACGTCATGAGTCTGAGCTGAGCAAGGCTGGTCTGCACCCCTGGGATGGGGGTCCTGGGCACGCACTTGCTTTCTCAACTGTCCCGCAGGAGAGTTGACAGGGTCTTGCCTGCCCAGAACCAAGAGCTTTTCCCTGGTAACGACTGTAATTCTTTCCTGCTATTTTGGCTCTCTTGGCCTAGAAAAAGCCACACATGAACTAACACAACTTCAACATTATTTGAACCTCATTCTCACATCCCCACAATAATATATGAGCTCATTAGTATGCAGGACACATTTATAGCAAAAGAGCATATTTGCATTATGTGGCAGAGACTGACTTGGGGAGACCAGTTGTCTTTTCTCCTTAGATACATGCGTAGATGTCATTTTTGAGCTTCCCAGGGCTGGCTCACAAAAAAATGCTCACATGCATTTTATCATGTTCTATCCCCCCTACAGCTTGCTGCCTATGAACATGGTGGCCGCGAAAACCACATAGCAAAAATGGCCACGTGTCAGAGAGCCTCAGTCTCTCCACTGCTGCTTGGAGCAGCCTCCACCAACCAGCCCTTCTCTTAACTCTGTGTCTGAGAAAGAAATGAACTTCTACTGTGTTTAGGCACTGAGGTTTTGGGTTTTAACTCTTAAAAAAATTAACATCACCCTAACTAGAAATTTTTTTTTTCTTTTCATCTTCACAGTGTTGAGTGGTGATCAAGGGAACATTCAGATTTTTGTAGAATTTTGAGTGGTAAGACTACACCATTACTACCTACCAAGTGGGGTTCTGGCAAATTTTTGACACTCGGCTCTGGTGCAGTGGGAGTGGAATCTTTAATTTGTCGGGCCTGCCTATTATCACGGTGCAAATTTCACAGTCAGTTTCGAGCTACCAATGTCACATCACTAAACAAAGAGATGGGAAGAGGTACTCTCCCTAAGGCAGGGCAGGCCGGGTTCAGCACAACCATGGCATCAAGCCCACCATGGAGAATCACAGCTTCATATGCATCAGAATCAACAAATATTCAGGAAAAGATATTCTAGCAAGACCTCCAATGTGTGAGTGAAGCAGATAGCATCAAGAATTAATAAGAGAAAGAGAAAATAACTATAACTATAACCATAAGTATATATATCTATATAATATATAACAGTCTTTGTCCAGGATTTTTTTTTAAAGATTTTATTTATTTGAGAGAGAGCACGAGCAGGGCAGAGGGAGAAGCAGGCTTCCTGCTGAGCAGAGAGCCCTATGCAGGACTCGATCCCAAGATCCTGGGATCATGACCTGGGCCAAAGGCAGACACTTAACTGACTGAGCCACCCAGGCACCCTGGGATGTTTAAATGATTTAACCAAATGTAGTTTGAGTCATCAAAGGAAAACAAGAGACCATATGCTTTAAATTTCTTTTTTGACAGAGAGAGAGAGAGAGACAGCGAGAGAGGGAACACAAGCAGGGGGAAGAGGGAGAAGTAGGCTTCCCGCGGAGCAGGGAGCCCGATGTGGGGCTCGATCCCAGGACCCTGAGATCATGACCTGAGCCGAAGGCAGACGCTTAATGACTGAGCCATCCAGGCGCCCCTGATTTAAATTTCTTGATCATCAAAATCATTCACTTGTAGAAGGTAATGTTAAGTAACAAAAAATTGAAAAAATTGAGTTCTGATCTTAGATATCATATTTTCTACTTAGGACCTGGGGTGAAATATTCAATACTTCTAAGATTTTTGAAATATATAAAAAGGAGCCAATATTTCAAATTTGCTGGGATATTTAAAAAATAGGAGATAGTTTGCAAAACATGTCTGATACAATGTAAGTACTCAATGAATGGAAATTATTTTTATTAGGAATATATTATGAGGATCTGTGTGTCCCAACTACTGTAGAGATGGGATATGTTAAGAGAACCAAAGAGAAGGGAATGTGTCGTATGGAGAGCTCTCTCTCCCTTTTATGTTCTTTCTGGGTCTACCATGCACCAGGAATGCTCCAGGCACAAGGTCTCTGCACCTGCTGTTCCCAGTGCCTGGAACACTCATCCCTCAGATGGTGGGAGACCATATGGTTAGCATCCTCCTTTCCTCCATGTCTTCTCTCAAAATCTCCTTCTTCACGAGCCTTTCATGGGCCCCTTTATCTCTATTTGCAAATGTTTCCTGACAATACTTCCAACTCCTATTTCTTGCTTTATTTTTCTCCTTAGTATTTATCACCCTGAATTATGTTTCTACAATATCAATCATTATACTTAGAATGTATATTATACTCAGGCTAATGCTGTTTACAAAAATACTTACACCATATATTTTCTTATTTATCTATAAGCCCCCAAAAAGCAAGAACTTGGACTATTTTATCCACTGCTTATTCTCAGCATCTGGAATAGTAGATATTAAATATTTTTGTTGTTGTTAGTGAAATTGTTTAATTAAATTGCTGGCAGAAATACCATATGTATTACTAAAACTTGACCCAGCCCTCAACATATAGTAGATAACAGATGTTTATTACTTCTGCTCTTACAGAAATGCACAATAGCACCATACTTCTCACCCAATTGTTCTTCCTCACAAAATTTTCTGGACTGACACAGTGTAGCCAAGTTTATGATAGTATTGGATTTCTTGATCTACCATATTACTCCTTTTATTTGGGGGGGGGCTATAT